TCTTTACAACTTTAATACAGTGGGATCCAGTAACGGCTTATTCAGTAAGGGTCCTGTCCATATTTCCCCACAGGAACATAGAACAAAATGTATCCAAGTGCGTTGCATACATCTAATGAGAAATTATGCAGGGGGTTCAGGTTTTTTTTGCATACAACAAGTTAGTTTTGTGTAGGAACCAACAGACCAATTTCAAAATATGTTTATTTAGAAATTATTGAGCCAAGCGAACATATAGGAACTTGTAATAGGTGTGCCTAGAACTGAGCTCTTACAACAAATATGGTAAATCTTTGGTACCCCCATTCTTGAAGAACTATGATGTGTCTACTAGGCCTTCCATAGAGCTGTAGCCAGTCTGAACAGTTGTATTGTTTTATGTTTTTGATTTTGCTTTGAGTTGTTTTGTTATGCTGTTGTTGTGTTGAGGCCTTGGCCTTTGTAAGCCGCATCGAGTCCTTTGGGAGATGCTAGCGGGGTACAAATAAAGTTTAATAATAATAATAATAATAAATAATTTGGGTATAGTTACATGGCTAGTATGTGTGATCAAGCTGTGGCACAGCTAGTTAGTAGCCAGCTGCATTAAATCACTATTGACTGAGAGGTCGTGAGTTTGAAGCCAGCCCGGGACAGAGTAAGCTCCCAACCATTAATAGCCTAGTTTGCCGTTGACCTATGCAGCCTGAAAGACAGTTGCAACTTTCAAGTAGGACGTTTAAGTACCACTTTAGGCGGGGAGGCTAATTTAACTAAGTTATGGCACCATTAAATCTTCCAGCAGCGTGAGAAAAAATGAAAAAGTACTCCGACAATGACTCAATCAGTTTTTTGCACTCTCTCTCTCTCTCTCTCTCTCTCTCTCTCTCTCTCTCTCTCTCTCTATATATATATATATATATATATATATATATATATGTTTCTGGCATTGAATGTTTGTCATGCATATGTGCATTGTAATTGGCCCTGAGTCCCCTGCAGGGTGAGAAGGGCAAAATATAAATGCTGGAAATAAATAAATAATACTATAAACAAATTATGAAGCTTCTTCCTTAATAAAATTCTTTCCTGAGATATAAAACAATATATGGAAAGTTCCTTAACCCACACAACATTTTCACTTCTACCTATAGAGAGCCAGGACAGGACTGTTTCTTATTGTTTACGCCTCCTATTTTTCAAAGTCCATGTCATATGGCATAAACTATTGTAGTCTAACTATGTAATTGATGTGAAAACTATTCTCATAAATGCAGAGATTCAATATCTCTAGTCAGAAAAATGGGAGGGGGGGGGGTTTAAACAATTTTATTTTTTTAGTGAATCATGAAGAGTGTGTCCATAACACAAAATAATTTAAATTCTATGACATTCTATATTTTTATATAGACTTAATTAAAATCAAATCTCTATTTTAGCTAAAAAGTTTCACATTCAGCCCCTCCTCCCCCGGAAAATGACTCTTAATTGGTAATTTATTGGTTACAAAAAAGAATATCATAATGCCTGTTGAAAACACCTGAAAACTGTATCAATACACTTTGACAGAAATCAGGCGCCATCAAGAAACTTGTCTGCTCATTGTTGCCTGAGCATTGCCATGGAGACATTGAGAGGCTACCTGAGAGGCAGGTCTTCTCAGAGCTGGAGAAGGGAGAAAGCAGGAGGGCAGCAGTCTCTCCAACACCTGCACAATGCCAGGTGTATATGTAAGTACACTAATATTTACAACACATACCCCACAACCTCGAAGTTGTTGTTGTTACTGTGTTTGTTTTCCTTCAAATCATTTCTGACTTATGGGGACCCAAAGTTAATCCCATCACAAGGTTTACTTGGTTTAAAAAATGTCCAGAGAGGGTTTTTTTTCCCCTTGCCTTCCTCTGAGACTCAGAGAGTGTGATGTACCCAAGACCATCCATGGGTTTCCATGGTTGAATGAGGATTTGAACCTTCGTTCCAGAGTCATAGTCAAATGCTCAAACTTCTACACCATTCTGGGTCTTATTTTTCAACCTATAAAATACGTATATCTACATTTGTCATGTTCATATTTGCTGATCTGATTATTCATGGCATTGATAAAGTATGTGACTTTATGGTCAATTTCTTGCAGTTATGGAGGATCTGGACATTTGTATAGAGAACTGTCTAGAAATGTCTAGATCATCTAGTATGATTCTATGGTCATCTTCTAGAACCGTGTTTCTCAGCCTTCCTAATGCCATGACCCCTTAATACAGTTCCTCATATTGTGGTAAACTCAATAATAAAATAATTTTGCTACTGTTATGAATCATAATGTAAATATCTGATATGCTGGATGTATTTTCATTCACAGGACAAAATTTCACACCAATTCCCCATACGCCCAAATCTGAATACTGGTGGGGTTGGGGGGAGGGGGTACTGATTCTATCATTTGGGAGTTGTAGTTGCTGGGATTTATAATTAACCTACACTCAAAGAGCATTCTGAACCCTACCGACGATGGAATTGAACCAATCTTGGCAAGCAGAACTCCCAATACCAACAGAAAATACTGGAAGGGTTTGGTGGGAATTAACCTTGAGTTTGGCAGTTGTAGTTCACCTACACCCAGAGAGCACTGTGGACTCAAACAATAATGGATCTGGACCAAACTTGGTACGAATGTTCAATATGCCCAAATGCGAACACTGATGGAATTTGGGGAAAATAGACCTTGACATTTGGAAGTTGTAGTTGCTGGGATTTATAGTTCAGCTACAATCAAACAGCATTCTGAACCACACCAACAATAGAATTGGGCTAAAGTTGTTACACAGAACCCCCATGACCAACAGAAAATACTGTGTTTTCTGATGGTCTTTGGTGACCCTCTGACACTCCCCTTGTGACCCCCTCAGGGGTCCCGACCCCCAGGTTGAAAAAGGCTGTTCTAGAGTATGTCAACCATAGAATCTTCCTAGAAATATAGAAAAGTCCTTTCATGGCTGGAATAAGGCATAATAGAGGAATCTTGATTCTTGCACTGAGCAGTATATTGGAAAGGCTGGGTGTGGTGACATTAAGAAATTGTTAACTTTTTTAAAAATTATTTCAGCAACCTTCCATTCCTAGGGGAGAAGTACAATAGGTATGCACTCTTTCCTCCCTTTCAACTCTGCCCTTTGTCCAGAAAAACAAAACAAAAAACAGCTCAGCAATTTTCCAGATAGTGTTGTAGAGGAGAAAGAGCATGTAAATTGAGATAGTGTGCTTTGGACTTCTTATGAAACTCTTGGGGAGTTGGTTATTCAATAATAAAAAGGAGAAAACCAGTTAAACGTCTTTTTAAGCCATGGGAAGGAAAGAGTGGGGCATGAGGAGAGACAGGAGAGTTTTTAAAAAGTAGCCCAATTATCAAGTTACTGGAGAACGTACTGTAACAGTATGCTGAGTTGTTACTAGCAAACATGTATGCCAACAAGTGATGTGGCAGATACAGAGTTCTAAAGGAAGAATAGAATTGTTTCTTTTGTTTCACTAGTAAAAATAACAATACTTTCCTGAAATGGCAAACATCTTGTCTTCAAATATGACATTTTTTCCAAAGTGACCTGGAACTTCCTGTATGAATCTATACTGTAGAATTAATGCAGTTTGACACCACTTTAACTGCTATGTTATGGAATCCCAGGAGTTTTACACACCCTTTAGCTTTCTCTGCCCAAGAGTGCTCACCAATCACTAATAGAGTATTTTGTAGTATTGGTCCATGGCACCATCTTACCTGTTTGCAGGTAAGGTGGTGTCAAACTCCATTAATTCTACAGCGCAGATGCACCCCATTAGATATCCTATAACTATCAAATCGTATGCATGTTTTTTTGGAAAGCTTCCTACTTTGTTCAGTTGGTGTTTACTCCCAGGTAAGAATACAGAGGATTGCAGCCTAAAGCATCGAAGCAGAAGTGGCAACCTGTGCTTTTCCAGATGGTGTTGGACTACAACTTTTATGACTTCTAACCAATGACTATATACTGTCTATGGTTGCTGGGAGTTACAGTCCAGTAGCATCTGGGAGGCCACAAGTTACTTTCCCCTAGTATGAAGGAGTGAATCAGTATTAGTAAGAAATGAGTATGGTCCAAGGCACATTTCAGAATCGATGTGTTAAACATTTCATGGTAGCTAAAGGTGATCCCAGCTGTTTCTCCTACCTTCCTTCCCTGGCTCAGGTTCTGTTCCTTTGAATCTCCCTTCAGCTCTGGAGTCCACCATCTGGAAGCGTTTGGATTTAATGTTCTCCATGATCTCCTCATAGGTCTTCAAGAGAGACCTGTTCAGGGAGGCTTTGAAAACAGCTGGTTCTGGTCTGGTGATCTCAGATGTCACTGGGTGACCCTCTTTCACCCAGTTCTTGAACCCTCCATTCAACACAGAGATGGTTCGGTGCCCGAACACTCGGAACATCCACCAAGCCCGTGGAGCATAGAAGCTGCCCAAGTTGTCCCCATCATATACCACAATGTGCGTTTGGTTGCTGATACCTAGGTGGCCCACGTATTCTGCAAAGTGTTTCTCGCTGGGCAGCATCAGCTCATAGGGTGACGATTTGTCTTTGCACTCCTCGATATCAAAAAAGGAGGCACCCGGGATGTGCCGTTCTTGGAATTCTTTTTGGGCACTTCTTCCACCTGGTTCATACCAGGAGGCATCCAGGACCCGTAGTTCAGGCCCAATCTTATTGGCCCGCACAGCTTCTGCTAGCCATTTGGTGGAGACCAGGGCCCTATATAATGCTTGCTGCACCATGTTAGCCAAGTCTCTTCTGATGGATGAATAGCTAGCAGAAGGGAGTGTGGAAAAGGGGGTGGAGCGGAGATTCCCAAACTCTCGTGTCTGCTTGTGGCCAATGGGCCAATCAGTGAGCAAGGGGCGGAGAACAAGCTCTGAATTACCTTCATTCCTATTCTGTCCTGCACTTTGGACTGGCTCAAACCCTCCCACAATCAGCTGACAATCCCAGGAATACCCCTCCCCCCTTTGCAAACAGTCCAGTTTTGAGAACTTTAAAGAAGCATTAGGAGGAAACAAAAACAAATTTTCTTCCCCACTCTCAGTCCTTTCCTGGTGCTTTGTTACTTTATCTCCCCCACTGTAGTGTGACAGCATCTCAAAGTCAGCTGTTTGAGGACGTGCTGAGAACGGCAAAATGTCCCGAGTGCCAAAGTAAGTGACGGTGCAATGGTGAGGTGATTGACTAAAACTGCTGTGGGACAAAGTGCAACTCTGAAAGAGAAACCGGCACATAAAAGTGCCAAGGCTCTGGAGTCACAAAGGGTAAAGAGTTCCCTTACAAATAGAAAGCTGCAAAGGTAGACAGCATATTGATTCAAAAACACTGGCAACTATCTAAGAATTCTGATTGATCTTTCCCTGTCATAGAGTTTGGAAAACATTGAACTTCAAAGTACAACTTCAGAAATTGCTGTGAATCTGGGCTTTAAAAGTAATCTTTCTAAATTCTATTTCAAATAGTTATGAGACAGCAGCCAGATTCTGGGAGTTCTAGTGGAAAAGTAATTTTTTTTCAAAAGTTCACATTGGTTTGAAGCAAAGAGTCCCACTGGGAATTATTATCGCACATAGCCATTTGTGGTGTATGTATGTGTGTACATATGTATTATGTATGCATATCTACCTACCTACATTTTTTTCTATCTAACTCCAAATCACAACAGTGGCATGGACTGTTCAGCCATAAACTGTGTTCTAGGGAACTTTTCAAAGCACTGATATCAGATTAACACCAGTCGATAACAGACTTACTAGTGAATAAACTTTACTGAACACAGTAATGCTAAGTAAACATTGCATCATAATCCGCTATTTCCAATGGGGTTGTGAGAATGCAGGCTCCCCTTTGAATGTCTTACAATTAGCTGGAGGAGGCCACAGAGCCATCTAGCCCAACCCACTGCCAAAAGGAATACACAGTCAAAGCACTCCTGACAGATGGCCATCCACCCCATTAAAAAACTGCCAGAGAAGGAGTTCTGCCATACTCTAAGGTAGCATATTCCACTATTAAACAGCTCTTACCATCAGGATGTTTCTTCTGATGTTTAAGTGAAATGGCTTTTCCTATAGTTTGCTTTCCTTTCTCTGTGTAGTCTCTGAAGTAACTAGAAAGTTGACTCCATCTTCATGTATCTGGCTATCTTAGCACACATTCATCCTAAAAGACTCACCTTAGCTCACTAAAAAAGCCTGTGGTAGAATAAAGAATTGAATGCATGAGAAGCCAAAGAGCTCTAAGGAACAGTAAGGAAAAGCAATGGGTAGGTACCTGTCATTCACCCTAACCTCTCCTTATCTGTTTCTCCTTTGCCTCATTCTTACCACTGCAATTAGGAAGGAGAGGGGGGAAAAACACACACACACACAAGTTGTCGCTTTTTTGAGTTAGTTGATGAACTGCATGCAATACAATTTGCACAAAACCCAAGATCAATTTTTATTCATTTTGAAAATTGAGCTGGGAGTTCAAGGCATTTCTTTTTATTTGTAGCCTTTGTGCTGCAACGACGCCTGGGAAGACTCTACTGAACTTCCCATCTGCTCTATGGAATGCAATAGTAATTGACAAGGTCACTGTCCCATTTTCCTCCATTTGAAGCTCCATAAATCTTGCACTGAAGGAAAAGTATATTTTGCCATTCCTGACAAAAGTAATAGGGGAGAGTTTTGGGGGGTTTTTTTGTCGTGTCAGGAGCGACTTGAGAAACTGCAAGTCGCTTCTGGTGTGAGAGAATTGGCCGTCTGCAAGGACGTTGCCCAGGGGACGCCTGGATGATTTGATGGTTTTATCATTCTTGTGGGAGGCTTTTCTCATGTCCCCGTATGAGGAGTTGGAGCTGATAGAGAGAGCTCATCCGCCTCTCGCCGGATTCGAACCTGCAACCTGTCGGTCTTCAGTCCTACCGGCTCAGAGGTTTAACCCACTGCACCACAAGGGGACAGTGAAGAGACAGAAAAGATAGAAGGCAGGAAAGAATCAGCCTATCAATATTAATCCTCATATTGTTGGCCTTTTGTATCAATGGGTTTTGTGACCACAGATTCAACCAACCATAGCTCAAAAATATATAGGGGAAAATCCAAAATGCAAACCTTGCATTAGACTGATGCATCATCATACACATAGTCTCCCATTTCACAGAGCCTTGGAGTTTCTTGGAGTACTTATTTCAGCTGTGCACTATTTTATGTGTGAATTGCCATTTTACAATTACATTATATATCAGTGATTCTCAAGCTGTGGATCCCCAGATGTTTTGGCCTTCAACTCCCAGGAATTCTAACAACTGATAAACTGGCTGGGATTTCTGGGAGTTGTAGGCCAAAATACCTGGGGACCCGGAGGTTGAAATCTACTGTTACGTATCATAGGAGTTGAACATCCAAAGATTTTGGTGGGGATCCTGGAACCAAACTGCAGTAAATACAGTGTTTGTCGTGATGTGAAGGATGGAACAGTAATGGTGCAACAAATCTGAGTATAAGGAATGTGCATATGTAAACATACATGTATATATATGTGTGTGTGCGTGCGTGTATCCGTGTCTCTATATGTGTATCCATATAAACACACACTATAGCTGATCTGGCTCCAGATCATGCCCTGTTGCTATAGAGCTTGGCTTTGATGTAACCCTGTAAATCAACAGGCTACCATTTGTTGATTTAGCTGTTTTTATTGCATACCCATTTCACATATTTGATGTGTAATTTCCTTGGACAGGCTGAGCATCCCTAATCTGGAATTCCAAAGTCTTCTAAAATCCAAAATTGTCCATATGGGTGGCTGAGATAAGGACATTTTTGCTTTCTGATGGCTCAATGTACACAAACTTTGTTTCTTCCACCAAATTATTTAAAACCTTCGATATAAAAATACCTTTGGGCAGTGTGTGTGAGTTCTGTGTTTAAAAATGGGCCCTGTCTCCAAGTCATCTCATTATGTATATGCAAGTATTAAAAAAAAAACCACCCTGAAACACAGATTACTTTTGTGTTGTCAAAAGCTTTCATGGCTGGAATCACTGGGTTGCTGTGAGTTTTCCAGGCTGTATGGCTATGTTCCAGAAGCATTCGAGGCATTGCTGTTTATTTGTAGCCTTTGTGCTGCAACGAAGATGCCTGGGAAGACTCTACCAAACTTACCATCTGCTCTATGTCAATAGTAATGGACAAGGATGCTGCCCCATTTTCCCTCCATTTGAAGCTCCATAAGTCTTGCACTGAAGGAAAGGTTTAGTATGACACTCCTGAAAAAAGTCATAGGGGAGAGTGGAAGAGACAGAAAAGATAGAAGGCAGGAAAGAATCAGCCTGTCAATAATAATCCTCAAACTGTTGGCCCTTGATTAGCATTGATTAGCCTTGTCGCTTCCCCAGGCAGGAAGCAGCCAGGCTTTGAAGCTGCAAGGCTACTCAATGCTAATCAAAGTGGCCAATTGCAACATTCAACTTGCCTCCAACAGACAAGAGTTCTTTCTTCCACCCTGGACATTCCACAGATAAACCTCACTTACCTAGTTGCCAACAGACCTCACAACCTCTGAGGATGCCTGCCATAGATGTAGGTGAAATGTCAGGAGAGACTGCTTCTGGAACATGGCCATTCAGCCTGGAAAACTTGCAGCAACCCAGAATACTTTTGGTCCCATGCATTTCTGATAAGGAGATACATTTGGTGCAAATCCCATCATGGAAGATGCATGCCAAGACCTGTAAAACTCTGCTAATTCGTTCCAGTGGTGCAAATCACTGTAGAATTAATGCAGTTTGACAACACTTGAACTGTCCTGGCTCAGTGCCATGGGATTCAGGGATTAGTAGTTTTACAAGGTCTGTAGCCTTCTCTGCCAAAGAATGTTGGTGTCTCACCAGACTACAAATGCCAAGAATGAACCATGGCAGTTGAAGTGGTATCAAATTGCAAAAAAATTACAATGCAGATGCACTATTAGTTACAGGTCCAATCCTAGGATGCGTCTACACCAGGCATGGGCCAACTTGGACCCTCCAGGTGTTTTGGACTTCAACTCCCATAATTCCTAACAGCCTCAGGCCCTTTCCTTTTCCTTTCTCAGCTTAAGCGGCTAAGGGAGGAAAGAAAGGGGCCTGAGGCTGTGAGGAATTGTGGGAGTTGAAGTCCAAAATACCTGGAGGATTCAAGTTGGCCCATGCATGAGCTATCTCGATCTACTAATTTACATATGGTTTCTGATTGGCCAGCCTCAACATTCTAACATTCTTAAGTGCGTGAAGAGAGAATGGCAGAGCCCAAGGCTTTGAGGGATTGTGGAAGTTGGAATCCAAAACACCTGGAGGGCCCAAGTTGGCCCATGCATGAGCTAATTTGCATATGGTTTCTGATTGGCCAGCCTCAACATTCTAACATTTTTAAGCGTGTGAAGAGAGAAAGACAGAGCCTGAGGCTGTGAGGAATTGTGGGAGTTGGAGTCCAAAACACCTGAAGGGCTCAAGTTGGCCCATGCATGAGCTAATTTGCATATGGTTTCTGATTGGCCAGTCTCAACATTCTAACATTCTTAAGGGCTGAGGGGAAAAGGGAAGAGGCCTGAGGCTGTTTGGAATTGTGGGAGTTGAAGTTCAAAACACCTGGAGGGCCCAAGTTGGCCCATGCATGAGCTATCTTGACATACTAATTTGCATATAGATTCTGATTGGCCAGCCTCAACATTCTAACATTCTTAAGCGGGTGAAGGGGGAAAGGCAGGGCCTGAGGTTGTGAGGAATTGTGGGAGTTGGAGTCCAAAACTCCTGGAAAGAGGGGGGGGGGCTAGTTGGCACATGCCTGATCTACACTGAAGAATTAATGCAGTTCGACACTACTTTAACTGCCATGGCTCAATGCTATGGAATTATCGGAGTTGTAACTTGAGAAGGACAGGAATGGCTAAAGACCTTGCAAAACTACAACTCCCGAGCTTCCATGGCATAGAACAATGGCAGTTAAAGTGGTGTCAAAGTATATTAATTCTATGGTGTGTAGTTGCAGCCTCGAAAAGGGAGAGAAGGGCGGTTTTTCCCCCTCCGTTCGGATCAACGCTGTGGGTCTCGGCTCCCCCCGTTCTCTGCCGCGAGTTGGTTTGTCCCATTCTTCCTTTCCTTCTACTGGATGGCAAAATGGGCCGTGGT